GGCGGGAAGCAGGGCTGGCCGGGAGAGGGTCAGGGGGAGTGGGTCTGGCTGAGGCAGGGAGAGCGGGGGGAGAGAATCGGCCAGCGGGGAGTGGGACTGACCCAGGTTCATGCAGATCCCAGGGCACTGCCTGTCCCGCACATGGTCCCGGCAAAGCACGAGCAAGTCCGGCCCCGAGGATTCCCTCCCGCCCCGCCTTCTTCCCCCCGCCCCGTGTAGTTGCATACTGCCTGGCTGGTAGATATGCTCATGCAGCATGAGTATGTCTACCAGGAAGGCAATTCACAACTAGGCACTGATACTCCTAATAATAATAAACTTACCTAATTAGAAAATACCGGACATTTTATATGTCCGGTATTTTCTTTTTTTTTCCCGGGCAGAACCCTCAAATACCGGACTGTCCAGTTCAAAATTGGACACCTGGCAACCCTAGGTATAGTACAAAAGGGTGGGGTCCTGGGTAGAAGAGGCAAAAATCCCTTAGCACCACCTGTATCTCATGTGCCTCCTCCTCCCAGCCCTCAGACCTATATGGAGTGGCATTCTGATGCAAAGTGGACCAGGGCCAGCCACCACCACTCCCACTGTCTGTGGGCCTGATAGTACCACTATACTGAGCACTGTACTCAGCTGAAATACTGTGTCCAAGTTCAGTCATTAATGTATAGAAAATATATAGAGAAACTGAAAAAAAATCCAAGCAACAAAGTTGATCAATGGGATGGAATGCAACCCACACGAGCAATGGCTGAAGGAACTGGGCATGTTTAAGTTTGAAAAGGAGGAAATTAAGGTAAGGTATGATGACAGTCTTCTAATGCTTGAAGGGCTGCCATTAGTACAGATGTAGAAAAGTTGTTCTTTTTTTTAGCATAGAGGGCAGGACAAGAGGCAATGGGTTCAAAATGTAGCACATCAAATTTAGACTAAATCTCAGGAAAAATGTCCTAATTATAAGAACAGGAGGGCAATGGAACACACTGCCTTGAGAGGTTATGGAAGCTTCTTCACTGGAGTTTTTCAAAAGGAGGGGGATCACCATCTGTCCTGGATGGTTTAGACACAACAAATCCTATTTCTCAGCAGGTGGTTAAACTAGCTGACCCCTCAAGTTCCTTCTAACCCCATGATTCTATCAGTTTACATTCATGCTTATGAAACATATTTACTTTTAAGCCTATGAAATATCCCATTGACTTCAAAGGGCTACTACTGCATTTAAGATCAAGCACATATGTTTGCAAGTTCTGATAATTAATCATCCATGGAATGAGTAATGCTCTTTCACTCCTCATCCTTTCAGGCATTGCAGCTGAATGTGGTGAGAATTCTCTTTTTGAAAGGAAGAGGAGGGAGTATTTTTTAAGGACTCCATTGCCTTTTAGTTAAGAGGGAAGGAAAGGACATCTCACCTGAGTGGAGTCGAGAGGAGAAATGGAAGTGTTTGGATCAGGTGAGAATTCTGACCCATAATGCACAATGGGAGGTAATATTTGTACTCTATGATCACCAAATTGAACCCTCCACCAAAGAGGAAACGATGAACCCACCCTTCCATCCAAGGGTTCAGAGTATGACTGTTTATTGTTGTTATTGTTCTGGGCACCATGCTAGTCTCCCAACCCTACTATTTGTTTATGGAAAGTAATTCTTCCCTCTTTTCCAGACTGGCCAAGATGAGGTGGGGTTTTAAAACTTTCCCCACAGCTGTTCAGGGACACAGAGAAGTAGGTATGGAGGCTATGTCAAGATGCCACAAGATGGTAAGCATGGGAAGAGAATAGTGAGGACACTCATTACAGAGAGTACAGACTCAGAGAAAGAGGGATGGAATATGGGGAAAGTATATCTTAAGGAAACTAGGGGAGCCATAGTGTCTCAACAAACAGGGACTGTCAATTCTAAGCACTTATTCAGGGGAAGACAGTCCTTGATAAACCAGAACAGTAGCAAATACAATATTCAGTACTTTAATATCTGGGTGCTTAGATTTAGGTTCCTAAATCCACATTAAGAAGGCTACTTTACAAGTTATTTAAGTACTTACCTCTGGACTGGGGAGCCTACTTTTTAAATTGTTGTTTATAGTTGTGTCCTCGGAACAGCTGCATGCTTAATATTGAGTCTATTAAAGCTTTTAAAGTGTAATCTATTTCTCACTAAGGCAGAGAGTTCTTCTGCTAAAGTCTTGTAGTTAAAACTGTATCACTCCTTAGAATGCAGATCTGCAGCCTCTGCAGCAAAATTGCAGAAAAGCAGGATTTTTGTATTCATTTGTTTTCAGTTCTTGAGATAATAGAGATTCCCCCCGAATGCAGATAAATGAATAATTTATCATTTTGCATAGTAAATAAAATCAGCTACATTTCTAGAATTGTGTAACATTTATCTTTGTAGCTTTCTCTTATCTCCCAGTGAAATATAAACCATTTTGCAAAGGGCAATATCTCTTTCCATTGCCAATTGTGTGGATGGAAAAAGCAGTCGTATTACTGCCCCTTTTTTCATATACTACAGATAAAAGGCTTTTGTCATAGACAAAAAGGGCTGAGAGTCCAGGAGCTGGAATCTTCACTTACCTCATGTGTTGTAAGCAATAAAATCATATGACATGCGGTAACACTCTAAAAAATCTGAATTGAACATTTTCTGCACCTATCCTTAATGGGATTATACATGGTGGAATACACTGGAGATTCAGATATCAGGAATAAATTGCTCATGGCCAGGTCCTGTCTAGGTAAAGCATCAATATAAGGAAGTAACTTTCAAAAATGATTTAGTTTCATTGGTCCAAACCCATAATATAAGCAAATTTAAACTGTCTTAAGCATTAATATTGATTTAGCTTATATTGGTAACTTCCCAACACAAGTAGCCTTTTTAATGAAGACAAAGCCGTCATTTAAAGTGAAATGTGCTGAATATAACAAGAGGCTTTATCCTAGTGTTTGCAATATGTAAACTCTGGGCCGGGAACATCAGATCGCACAAATTGGAATGTAGAAAAACTTATAAGAAAGAACTCCAGAAAATAATTACATCAGAACCCCATTTATCTAATTCTAATTGGATCTGGGGACAGGTAGGATAATCAAAAAAATTAAAGAATCTAGAGAAAGGGAAAGTATGAAGTTGCAGAGCTAGCTAGTGGCCACAGGAGGGATCACCCACTTCTTGACCTATGTGCACTGGTTACTTGGGGTATGTCTACACTACCCCGCTAGTTCGAATTAGCGGGTTAATGTATGCATACCGAACATGCAAATGAAGCCCGGGATTTGAATTTCCCGGGCTTCATTTGCATAAGCCGGCCGGCGCCATTTTTAAATGCCGGCTTGTTCGAACCCCGTGCCGCGCGGCTACACGCGGCATGGGCTAGATAGTTCGAACTACCAAGCCATTCCGAACTATCTGTACGTTCCACGAGGCGTACAGATAGTTCGTAATGGCTTGCTAGTTCGAAGCCGGCATTTAAAAATGGCGCCGGCCGGCTTATGCAAATGAAGCCCGGGAAATTCAAATCCCGGGCTTCATTTGCACGTTCGGTATGCATACATTACCCTCCTAGTTCGAACTAGGAGAGTAGTGTAGACATACCCTTGGTTAATAGAGTCAGATAAGCGAGGGTCTGGTAAATGGGGTTTTATTTCACTTAACATTTCTAGCTACATATACCTAACATTCTCCTACATATACCTAGCACTCATACAGAATATTTTAGCAAAAGGTAAGCATCATCATTGCCACATTACAATTGGAGAAACTGAGGCACATCCCTCCAGCACAAAGTCCAACAGCAAGAGTAGGGCAACAACAAATACAACTCAGGCAGCTGCAGCATACTTCCAGCCATTACACATGTTGCTGCTAGACAGTGCTGGACCAACCATAGTTGCCTCCCAGGCAGCGGGAGCACGGTACATGCGCAGCCCGGCCCTGGGCATGTGGCGCATGCACAGCCCCGATCCTGGGTGCACAGCGCCCCTTACCACTTCAATCAGGCACCCCCCATAGGTTAGTGCCCCAGGCAGCTGCCCGGTTAGCCCCCCCCCCCTTAATCCGACCCTGCTGTTAGATATAGCAATCACCCACACCCAACAAATAACACCTCTTGATTCTCAGGTGGAAGAGAGTAAAAAAACAGGCAGATTAGTTGGCATCTCTTTTTTCCCTATGTACCTTTTCTTTGGACACAATATTAAACAGCCTGGCTGTGTCCAGACTCAGGGTTTTTTTCGAAAAAAGTAGCCTTTTTTCAAAAAAACATCACCTGCGTCTAGACTGCAGCCGCGTTCTTTCGAAATTAAATTGAAAGAACGCGGCTTTTCTTTCGACGGGGGTAAACCTCATTTCACGAGGAAGAACGCCTTTTTTCGAAAGTGCTCTTTCGAAAAAAGGTGTTCTTGAATGCCAACAGGGCTTTTTAGAAAGAGAGCATCCAGACTCACTCGCTGCTTTCTTTCGAAAAAGCGGCTTGCTTTTTCGAAAGTACTGCTTGCAGTCTAGATGCTCTTTTTCGAAAGAGGCTTTTTTGAAAGATACTTTCGAAAGAGGCTTGCAGTCTAGACATAGCCCCTGTGTGTTGGGAAGCCAATGGTACAACTTGCATTGGCATAGTCAGCTCCCCTCTGCTCTGCTATCTCAGACTGTCTGCATTCAAAGGAAGCTTGGTCTCTAGTCATCAGGGCTGTGTCTAGACTGCAGGGCTTTCGAAAGAGGCTTGCAGTCTAGATGTAGCCCATGTTATACTGACTATTGGGAGTAATTTTGTTGTTAAACAGTAATTTTAAACCAAGATATTTCTAGGAAAGAATTGCCAATGGTCTCGTTTTTAAATTATTTGAAAATATTTGATCAAATGCAATTGACCTATCAAATCCCCAAACCAAGAAGTGTGAAGGTCAAATTTTAACTTTTGACTTTGGAGCTGCTAGCATGCTTCTGTGCTACAGTCCCCTCATACAGATTGTTATTTTTCATTTGCAATTCAAGATCCCTCTCTTTTGGAATTTCTGCTACACAAGGTGAAAATCAAATGGAGACCTTTGTGATAGTTTTAAATGCTGACAGTAGAAAAATGAGTGATAATAATCTAGGCTACACAAAATTCCACACATTTATATTTATGAAGACCACATGAAGGTGGTTTATCAGGGTCTGAACTAAGGGCCCAGCATTGAGCCAACACATGCTGCTTCTATTGATAGAATTTGTTGTGATTCTGGGTCCCGCAGGCACACTGGAGTCTGTGTCTCTGGTTTAATAGAAGCATTGTGATGTTTCTGGTAGGCAAGTCTTTGTATAGTATGATTATCTAGAGACCACTGATGGACATAAAGATCGATCTTTATGAACTTGAGCTGCAAAATATGAATATTTGGTTGCCAAGCTCAGGGCCTAGCCATCTTGCATGTGTGCTAGCAACAGCTCTTCGGGATTTAAAACAGAATATCACATACAAATTCCAGAGTGAGTCTCCAAAATAATTTTATTCAATATAAGGGTTAAAGTGTGGGCTTATTCTATTGATAGCAAGCCCAGTTCAATGCAGTTTCTACTAAGAAAGGAATCAAAAGGAAGTGCTTGCTGGGATTTTGATCATCTGCTCGTCAGCTTTAAACACTTCTGCATATTTGAACCCCCAAAACTTGTCTAAATTTCCTCTAACCTCTCTGGAAGTCCACATCTCTTTCTAGTCCCAAAAATTGTTAATTCAAAAGGTGTAAGTTTTCACAGAAAAAAATGTTTTAGGGAAGAAAGTATTTGTCAGGTCTCCTAGGCTATATCTACACTGCAACTCGATTTTGGGATACTGGAGTATCCCGAAATAGCAATCCTGCATCTTCACAGCAAACCCATTATTTTGGACTCACTATTCTGACGTTTCTGTAAATCTCATTCTATGGGGAGTAAGGGAAATTTTGAAACAGTGCTTTATTTTGCAATATTATATTTAGAATAAAATAGAGCTTTATTTGCGTAGCTCAAATTGAGTATCTTATTTTGAGTTACAGTGCAGTGTAGACTCACCCATACAATGCTGAAGAGTTCAAGTTATTAGTTTTAGGAGATTGCTTAACATTGCTTGTGACCCCAGGAATTCATATAATAAAAAATGAATGTCACTGCAATTTCTGCAAAAAAAACTGAGAAAAAAAATGTATGGATTGAGATTACTGTCGGCAGAAGCCTAAGGATTTCTAAAAAAAAATGTAATTTTCCATTTCTTAATGTAGAGAAACAAAATAAAATAATTATATGTATGTATGAATTGTTACTCTTCCTGTATATTCTCTACTCAAGGTCTATAAAACCATGACTGGTGAGGAAAAAGTGAATAAGGAAAATCTTTTTTTTTGTTCCCACAATACAGGGGCGGGCAATAATTTTTGCCCGGGGGCCACTCTTGTTCCCACAGTACAGGGGCGGGCAATAATTTTTGCCCGGGGGCCACTTCAAAAAATTTTGAAGTAGCCCCAGGCAACCCTGGAAGAGGTGGGGCCTAATCAGGAAGGGGTGGGCCTAAATAGGAAGGGGTGAGGCTACTCCACCCCAAGACCATGATTGGTCTGGGGGTGGGGGAGCCCCTTTACCCTCCCCTTCACACTAAGCACCCATGCCCTGGATGAGGCTTGGCATGCTCCCCCACCCCCAGGCCAATTAGGGCTTGGAGGCAGTGGAGTGCAAGAAGCCTCTTCCTGCTCTGCGAGAAGCGCATGGAACTTTGAAGTGTCGTGGGATCTTTGCAGGGCCAGGGCAGGGCAAAGGAAGCTTCATGTAGCTCCTTCACCCCCAGGACCTGATTGGCCTGGGGGCAGGGGAACACACGAAGCCTCCTCTGCTCTTCCCCACCCTGCGAGCAGTGCGTGGTGCTTCAAAATTCACCCCCAGGACCTGATTGGCCTGGGGGCAGGGGAACACACGAAGCCTCCTCTGCTCTTCCCCACCCTGCGAGCAGTGCGTGGTGCTTCAAAATGCCACATGCTCTTGGCAGCGTGGGAGGAGGCTTCAGGAGCTCCTCCGCCCCTAGGCCCTAATTTGCTTGGGGGTGGGGAAGCAGCAGAGCCTCTGCAGGCTGGATCTTGCCCGTGGAGGCCCTTTTGCCCCCCCCTACCATAATATAAGAACTAGGGGTCACCAAATGAAATTAATAGGTAGCAGGTTTAAAACAAAAGGAAGTTTTTCTTCAGCCATTCCACAGTCAACCTGTGGAACTCCTTGCCAGAGGATGTTGTGAAGACTAGGACTTTAACAGGGTTCAAAAAAAAGCTAGATAAATTCATGTGGGTTAGGTCCATCAATGGCTATTTATTTGGAAATGGATGTCAGGAGAGGGATCACATGATGATTACCTGTTTTTTTCACTCTCTCTGGGGCATCTGGCATTGGCTACTGTTGACAGACAGGATACTGGGTTTGATGGACCTTTGATCTATCCCTCAATGGCCGTTCTTATTTTTCTTATGGAGTAGCAGAGGCAGCACAGGTCTTGGTTGCACAACAGGAAAACTGAGTTTCACTACAAAGGAGATATCTGTCTTAAGTTTCACCTGGCATTAGGAAGTAAGACATCATTTGAATGATCTGAATGAAATTGGGACATAAATAAAGACTAGTTAGTTGAAGTTCAATCTTGATAAAATTAAGTTAATGCTGGAAGAATAGGGAAGTAGTAATAAATCAGATATCTACAACATTTATTTTATTTTATTTATTTTTACACTGTGGTTATTGCACTAATTATTATTAGGTGTGCATCTAATGTGTTCTGCATATTTTAATGCAAAATAAGGTGACTACAGGCATTTGCTTTTTCTCAGCAATATTCAATTTCCAAAAGCTTGACGGACAGGTTAGATTTTCTAATCTCTCTAATGTTTTCTTCACTAATGTTTTGTAACTAATTAACACAGCACCACAAAAAATATTAACAATTTTTTTTCAAAAAGGACTAGTAGTTTTTGGTGCTTCAATCTTAATTAAGGACACTTAAAGATTTTCAGTGAGTGCCTCCTTCCTGGAAACATAGTTCTAGTCTTCTTTAAGAAAGTAAACAATATTCTCTCTCTGTCCCCACCTCAGTCACCTTAATAAAAACAGGTAATTGAGATTCCTTGTTCCAGAAAGAAGACTTGCTATTGTAGGATCTTTAAATCAAACAGTTGGGCCCCTAGTTCAGTCTATTACTGAGGACATACAATTAACTTTATGTTTGTTTAAATGTTTAATTGAAGGTAATGGGACTTAAGCATGAGATTAAGTGCTTTCTGAAACTCAGCTGATGTAAGATGTTATTGAAGTGATATTTACAGCATAAGTAAAGGATATGTTTAGAAAAGGACAATTTAATAAACAAGAGTCAATATAAATGTTTGAAAGGTAAATTGTGTCAGACAAATTAAATTACTCTTAATGTAATATCTAAAAGTCTGTTTAAACAAAAACAAATACATTTAATATAACTCAATCTTCAGAAAACTTGTTTACAGTTTCATACAGTGGAATTTGTAATAGAAGCTGTCTAAATAGTATCAGACAATAATTGTTGGTGAATGAGGAATTGGTTAATTGGAAAATAAAAGATACTAAACTGAACTAAACTAAACTAAAGTTATGTACCCTTCTTGTTAGTGAGGAATGAAGTGCCACAACGTGCTAAATGAGAACTAGTACTTTTAGTTGGGCTGATGTATTATGTTATTATTATTTTATTATTAAATACTCAAAAGTGTTACTTGGAGAGAGAAAAAAAAGAACCAATGTATACTGGAAAACTCAGTATTTAAAATTTTGGTTAAATAAACAGTAGGAGTGGGTAACCTAAGGCTTGCTTGGGTCTGAGGCTCGAGGCTCATGCTGGTGTTCCAGCCCCCTTTCCCGCTGTTCCCCCTGCAGGGCTGCAGCACACAAAATCTACTAGTCTAGGCCCAACTGCTTTTTCTGTGGGTCAGAGGCTCCTGTTCCAAAACAGGTTCTCCACCCCAAATATACAACATTAACACACAAAGATGTTGACTTCATCAAGAAAGATGCAAGCTACAATACATTTGAAGGAGTTTATATGTGGGTGAATGAGTGAGTCTGTCCGCCTGTTTGTTCAAGAACTCCTCCTAAACAGTAAGAGCTAAAACCACCAAATTTGGTATGCAGCTTCCTCTTATCATAACTTAAAGCAAGGTCTATATTTGATTGTGCTAGGTCAATGGGATGTGCCTGGAATGTGATTGTTTTTCATAACCTGGAAAGGGAGGATTCTGCTAGCAGGGACAGGGGGGCAGCAAGGAGCCAGAAATAAGGACTGAGACAGCTATAATCCCATTGGGACAGCAGGGAACAGGGGTGGAGGTAAAGTTCTCGTACTTGAACTGGGCATGGTTGGTCAACCCCTCAGCTGGAGCCTAAGCCACTCCCCTTCACACATGCCCCCTCAGACCCAGCTCCAGACTGCAGGAGGTGGGGAAACAAGGCCCCAGCACCGGTGAGCCTGAGCCAGTATGGTGCAACACCCAAGCCTGTGCGTGGTCACCCAGGCTTCCAACCCTGAAGCTCAGGTGGCTGGAAAGTGCAGTTGCTCCCCCAGTCCCAGGGATCTGGTGGTCAAGTACTGCAGCCCTCACTGCCCTAGCCAGCTCTGGGGAACCAACACCCCATTTCCCTGGCCAGTCCTACTGATCCACTACTCCATCAGTGCAGCCCCCACTACTCCATCCAGGCCCATGCATCTAGCTCCAAGGCAGCACAGCCCCTGCCTCCCTGTTCAGCCTCAGAAAACCGCTGCTATAGCAGCATGGTCTCTGTTGTGATGATACCTTAAGGTAGTAGCAGAAACATTCCCTTGCAAACTAGGCATCTCTGAGATGAATTCTGTCTTCCAGATTCAGAATTCTTCCTGAAACTTCCTTTGAGACAACACAGCTCTGCAACACATATAGGCCTGCCCCTTAATGGCACAGTGAACTCCAGGATGTTTAGAAGGGTAGCTGAGTTAGTCTGGGGGTAGCTGAGTTAGTCTGTTCAGGATAAACTTAAAAACAACAAATAGTCTGGTAGCACTTTAAAGACTAATAATACATGTAGATATTATCATGAGTTTTCATGGGCACAACCCGCTTCTTCAAATGACCGGAGTGTTGGATGTCCAGGACCAAAAATATGTTAGTCCTTTAAAATATGTTCTCACGCTATTAACTTTGCTTCCACCTTAATGCAAACATGACTGTTGACACTGGATCCACATAATATACTATGAACTAATCTCCCATCAAAAGAGTGAGCTATATCTCATGACATGTTGCATTAGTAGGAAATGATGGCTGCAATCCAGAATTCAAGTTGAGATTTAATGCCATCAGATTTTACATTAACTGCACCAGTAATATACAGAGTGACATATGACTTAAATATGACAGACATTGTGAGGATAATCTAATGAATCTGGAGACTGAAAAGCAACTGGAGCTCTATACTGACTTCTGTAGCACTATTGCCATGGTTAACTTAAAAGAGAGTTCTATTATATCACAAGAGCTCCCTCTATTGGTGTTAATGCTACTGTACTTGCTATCTGGAACACATTCTGAGTAATGAAGAAAGATGCCCCCACATGGTGAGCATCTGCTCACTACTCCTTAATGCTGGAAGGTGGTAGCCTAAAGATGGTGCCTAAGAATATGTGCTAATGGGGTGAGCGGGGAACAGGTATTAGCAATTTAGCTCTGTGTAGAGTTTGTCCTTTATCTTTTCCTCTCCTCCCCTATCAAGAGTTGTGTTCTAGAACATCTTTATTAAGGCTCTGATCCTGCAAGCCATTCTGCACTGACAGATGCTATTGACTTCTGTGAGGCTCCACGGGAATCCACTTGCATCCAGCAGCATCTAGCAGTATCTTTTTTTTTTTTTGTGACAGCACTTCTCACAAAAATATTTTGTTTTTTTTGTTTCTATTATACTGTGAGTACATTTGGCAGCATGAAATATTTAAGTGGCAGTTTCTCTCTCTTTAGATAGCTTCAGAGGAGTATCCAAGTTAGTCTGTAACAGGAAAAACTTAAAAAACAACAAACAGTCTCGTAGCACTGTAAAGATTAACGAAACACTGCTACTCGCTGTCTTTTTTTCTTCCTCCTCTTCAATTTTTTCCTTCTCTCCTCCTTCTTCCTTTCCTTATTTATTCTTGGATCTGGACTTCGAACACTACAGTCATCTGAAGAAGTGAGTGGTTCCCACGAAAGCTCATGATACCATCTACATGTTTTGTTAGTCTTTAAAGTGTAACTAGTCTATTTATTGTTTTTTTAAGTTTCTCCTTAGATAGTTATTTGATTCCAGGGCACTACAGTGAGAATTCTTACTGTACCATTTTTGTTTGTTGTCTTGTGTAGGAAAGGATGGAAAATGTATCCACAGAATATGAGGAATTGATGAGCTAGCTGAGGAGCAAGAGGACTGAGCTACAGGGATGGGAGATACCCTTTAGAATGACGCTTCATGAGGGACATAATCATCAATGATGGATGCAGGTGCCTTGATGCAAACTCTAATAGCTCTTGGCTTGGCTGAAGATAGATAGATAGATAGATAGATAGATAGATAGATAGATAGATAGATAGATAGATAGATAGATTAGAGTGCATCTATCTGTAAGTCTGTCTACAAATCCATGAACTCCTTGAAATGGTAAGATCCAGGGTCATCAAATTTGGCATGATGCTTCCTCTTCTCCTAACTTAAACCAAGGTCAGTACTTGGTTATGCCAGGACAACTGGAAGAACCAAGAAAAAGACAGTTATCCATTACATGTAAAGCAGTGGTGGGGAACCTTTTGGGTTGGGGGCCACTGACCCACAGAAAAATCAGTCCGGGGCTACACACAAGTGAGAAGCAAAACAAACAAACAAACAAACAAACAAAAATAAAAACTCCCTGGCCCTCACTGATGTGTTCTCTGACTGAGAAGGAGAAAGACACTGAAAGACCCACATTTGCCTCATACACCAGAGCCTTGGGGGACAAAGCTAGTAGCCCTGCAGAGGAATAAAGGGGAGGTGGGGGTAGAGTGCCATCATGGGCTCCCCGATGCTGGAGGGGAGCCCGAAGTCTTGGGGGCTGGATCCAGGCAAGCTGGGGGCCACATTCAGCACCCTAGGCCTTAGGTTCCCCAGCCTGATGTAAAGGGAGGGGTTTCTGTTCAGAGGGACACAATATGAGAGCCATTCTGCAATGTGTCCACTGGGGCAGCTGTACCACCAAGGAAGTGGCCAGCAGGGCTGGGGATCTGCCATCTTGCCTGCTAGCACATGGGTAAGTAGCTCCCCTGCTCCAAACCCTTCCCCCGCCACCACCGCTTGAGGAGGGGAGAGGAAAGGCTCCTGGCAGCTGGGGTTGGGGCTGGGGAGAACAGAACAAGCCCCTGGTGGGCTGGGGTAGACCTAGAGGGAGAGAACAGGCCCCTGGTGGACGGGGGGGACACCCCTGCCCTGAGTTCCTACTCCCAACCGCCTGCACCCCCAGGCTCCACTGGGTAAGTCTGCTTCTGTTTTTATGTTTTAAAATAAAATAAAAAGTTGGTATATTTTTCATTTACTACAAGAGGAATGAGAATATTTTCTTAGGGTGTGTCTAGACTACATGCCTCCTTCGATGGAGGCATGTAGATTAGCCAGATCGGCAGAGGGAAATGAAGCCGCGATTAAAATAATCGCGGCTTCATTTAAATTTAAATGGCTGCCCCGCTCT